GATGGGAAATTTTATGTGATAGGAGGAATTGGAGGAGCCGAATCGAAGCGGTTGACTTGTGGGAGGAGTATGATCTTGAAAAAGGAACATGGCGTGAAATCCCAAACATGTCTCCTGTGCAAGCTAACGCTGCTACATCTGATGCACCTTTGGTGGCAGTTGTAGACAATGAGCTGTACGTGGCTGATTATGCTGACATGGAGGTGAGGAAGTATGACAAGCAAAATAAAGCATGGGTTACCATAGGACGGCTGCCCGAAAGAGCAGCTTCCATGTATGGTTGGGATTTGGCTTTTCGAGCATGTGGTAACAGGCTAATTGTAATTGGTGGACCCAAGGGAGGTGCAGAATATATTGAAGTGAATTCATGGGTTCCAAGTGAAGGGCCGATACAATGGGACTTGCTTGGCCAAAAGCGATCTGGTAGCTTTGTGTATAACTGTGCTGTCATGGGGTGCTGATCTTGTAATCCTAGTCTTTTGTCCTTGATGATGTTATCTTGATCCATATTTCTTTCTGTTTTGAATTCATGTTTGTTCTTTGCCAGCAATCTCTATCGTTGCACTGCAATATGCATTTAAAGGGAAAAATAGGACAATGAAATTCCATAATTGTATGCTGATAGACAAGCGAACTCCTATCTCATCTCATCTTTATTTTCCCTCCTTTATATGATTGGATATGTTTGAAAAATAGTTGCATCTTTGTGAAGTCAGACCATTACTTCTTGAGATATGACATATGCATGTGTTTTACATGATTTTTTTATTCATTCCCTCTGAAGTTTTCCACCAAGAGTTTTAGTTAATTCACTCATAACTCTTTGCATTTGTTAATTTCTCTCTACATCGTAGTCTCAGAGCATCTAGTTCTGGAATGAAGGAGGGACACATCCACCGCAATTTGCTGAAAAGAGGAGAAGTGGAAAATAAGGTGAAGTGCATTATACGTTATAACTCTTTTGAGGTTTGATTCCTGCGCTTGGTAAAATTAGCGTAGCATTGTGTACCCTTGTCTTGGAAATTTTTTAACCTATTACATTCTTCACTTTGAACCCGAACTCATTTTCTAGTCTGACTTATAGAGACTATTCGACATGCAACATCTCTTTTTGCTGTTTCATATTGGTAAAGCACGACATCTTCTCTCTTGTTGTAATGCCACAGTAGCAGCTTGGATTATATGTCGCTGTTAATAGACTTTTATGTTCATTCTTGAAAGTTATCATCCAGCTGGAATCTCTTCATAAGCAAATCCATTTGATCTCTGTAGATTAGTGTGACTAAATCAAATCTCCAAATATTAAATGAGTGATACTTAATTTTCCAGAATAGCATGTGCAGTAACATTATATAATGGTCAATAAGAAGTTTTCACATCGAAATGCAAAGAGGATCTTGAATTTTTTTTCCTGTTATTACTTGCCCTTTCGGCTCTTAATTCTTTTTCCCTCTTTGGAGGTTCACTTGGTCATATCTGAGTAATTAACTGTTATAATAAAGTGCACCCTCTTTTTAAAATTTGAAGGGAATTTTTAGTTTGCATCTATAGAACTCGGTATCCTTGTCCATATGTATTAACTGTGCTGAGTGTGCACCCTGTTGTAGTTTGTGATAGTTGAATGTATTCATTAGTGAAGCCAAAAATGTAAATAATGATACAGCTAAGTACTATCTGGATTTAATTTACTTGAATAGCCTTCTTTTGGTTTTTTTCTCACCTTCGTGAGGTTCTTATTGTTATTTGGGAATATAATGCCATGTGTTATTACGGTAAAAATATAGCCGCATCCAGCCAAAACAATTTAACCTTAGTAGTATTGCTATGGCTAAATACTTTATAGTAAATATTTAGTCGCACTTGGTTTATCCACGAAATCAATCAATATAACCATAGTAGCATCGGATTCCATTTTTTTTTAGTTTTACGTACTCAGCATATGTAGTGAGACCGTAACTTTGGCCCCCCTAATCCTTTTTGATGTCCATAAATAGCATGGTTTTTTCTTCAAATACATGAAGTGGCAAAACATTGAATGCATGGATTAACATGCATTTTCTTGTATCACTTTTGGCATTCTTTTTTTCCTTTTTGGGTTGTGAAAAGAAATATTTAGCTATTTTCCCTTTGATGGTTGCTTCTAAATTCTGATGGGAAGATAAAATTGATGGGAACATCTTTTATAAGCCTTTAGCAAACAATTAAATCAATTAATATAAAGCACAAGTGAATGTAGCCTTCTTTCTGAAATTCAAACAGGGTGTTTTGCACTTGAAAATAGGTAGTATTTTAGATGGAAAGCGTAAAAAGATTTCATAGCCATTGTAAGCAGGAAGAGATGAAAACTTTTACTGTGTTCCTTTCTTATTTATCTGGCTCCAATTTGGGTCTAAAGGGCAGTTGATTTTACTACCCATCAATGGCTGATTTTAGGGCTCGAATTCGTAATCTACAGGTCACACAACAGAGACACTAGTTAAGGCATTTTATTACGAAGAAAAAGCTGAAAGTTAACAATGTGTTTTGCCTTTAGTTGCTTTCTAGTTCCAATGATGGGTGCAGTGGTCAAAATCTGTTTGGGACAAGCTCATCTTCAATATTGCGACACAAATCTCAACCAAATGAATTCAACAAGTAGGCATGGCATAATGCTCTATCATTGTGCAACACACCATCTAATTTAGCTGATCATATCGTAGATCAAGTAAACCTTGATGGTTATGATGCACGCCAGTCTCCAACATTGCATGACACATCTTCTGCTTTAGCTGAGCATATAGTCGATCAAGTCAAACCTTAGTGACTATGACACACTATTAGGGAAACTGACTTATAGGATCTTGGAGATGAGGTTTTGCCCATTTCTAAGATCTTGGCCCGTCCTACAACAATAGAAATTGTTATCACGACCTAGTAGTTATGAATTATGATCTTTACGAGTACAAAGAGATGTGATTTCTTAAATGAATTGGAGCATTAAATCAAATGTTACAACGATATAATTTTAGTTGTGAAATTACAATCCGCCAAAACTGATCCAATTGGGATAGCAAAAGTAAGTTCGATAAATTAGCTCAAGAGGACAAGAACAGAATATTATTATGTTATTAACAAGTGGACTACTCCTTCATCAGATGTTACTCACCTTTTGCTTCTTAAAATTCAACTTAATAATATTTGAATGATACGAGGAGAATTACAATTTTGTAAAGTTCTGAGTATTTACATTTCAATTTATAGCTAATGAACTTAATCTAATAATTTATATTAGCTTTTGTATAGTTTGTGAAAAAATCATTATATTTCAAATTTAAAGTAAAATAGTCAGAGGTAGTCCTGAAAATTAAAAAAATGATTTTTCATAATTGAAAAAAAGCCAAACAGATTAATATGGAAGGAAAATAGAACTTCCCGAGTGGAGTTACATTACCAGGAAGAGTTGAATTTTCTTATGGTGAAATACTTTGGTAGATATATACCATTTGTCCATAAATAATATTTAATATTTGAACCAATTACTTTTTTTCAATTCCAACATCAAATAAGATATTTTTGTCCATTTAATACTCCTTGCGATTGTAAGTGCAATATTCAAACGGTCCATAAGTCCCAATAGAATGGGATTATAAGCGCGATGTTTATAACTTGCTATTATAAACAACAGTAGCGTTGTTTTTCACCCCTTTCTTGCGCTAATGTCCTTCCATTCCTCGTTTTACTTGTATAGAAGACAAATGAAAATCAATAAAGAGCTAAAAATAGAAAAAGAAATTTAAAGCAAACTGGAAGGAAGGCAAACAGATGCAGAAGTTGAGTTTAGTGTCATAAAATAGGACACCTCTATTTTGCTAATCTATTACAGGTGCCCATTTCCTACATTTTGTATTACTATGGTATTCTCTCTCTGTCTGTGTGTTTTTAGTGTTTATTGTGCTTCAGAAGAACGATTCTTTGACTATAGTGTACTGAGTTACTGTTGGTGTTGTTGATGAGAAAATTGTATTGAAGATATAAGAAAATTAGACTTACTAAGGAGCTTGAGAAGCTGAATTATTATCCAGATTAGTACAGTTTGCAGTTTGTATTGATTAGTAGGTCGGAAGAGTGGATGTTAGTTGTGCTAGTTCTGTGCTATAGTTGCTCATATGCAGGTTTTTGTCTTTGACTGTACATAATGCATTTGGTAATGAAATTTTTTATTTACCAAAAAAAATAAATTATAATCTTGGTTTTCCAAATGTATAATGTGATCCACAACACTTTTTTGGTGTTTTTTTTTGGTTCTATCAAGAGTGCTGCTATGTGTTCAAAATGTACCCTGTACTTGCTAAAACTAGGCCGAACCGTAGTCTCTAGGGAATTCAACTACTATTGCTACAACCTAGTTTATATCTTGGAAATTATAGTGATGATTTTGGATCAGGAATTTGTAAACAACCTCTCTACCTCTACAAGGTAGGGTACACACTATCTCTCCAGACCATAGTATGCGGAAGGGGGTAGAGGTTATTTCATTGTTTGGATTCCCTTCCATGCTTTACTTTCCTGTTTTAGGGATTATATGCTTTTTAAGCAGTTAGTTTTCTGCCAAACGCGATGCATCGTATACTGCATATCAATTCTAACTGTATAATGTTTTTTTCCCATAGGAATGATCAATTGGACACAATGGTCGAATACAACAGAGTGAAGGTCAAGTGTTTGATTGAATTTACTAAAGGGTTTGTGCGTAGGTAAGGTCAAACTTCTGTTATTGATTCGAAGAAATGATCAAAAGAGCTTTATTTGCTCGAGAAGTGGGCGTTTCCAATGATAATGCATGGCCTCTTAGGATGGGAATTCACCGCAAATACTAAGAGAGGTTGATAAAATACTAGTTTATTTATTGTTGATAAAATGGCCTAGTCCTTCACATCTACCCTGCAATGTGCTCAAAAGGTACTAAGAGAGGTTATATGATATTAGCTCTAGCAGTTCTAGATTAATGATATATAACCCGAGTTTCATGCAGTATTTCATAGCCAGTGTATAGAAATCTTTGCATATTTAGAGCATGTTCTTTCAATAAATGATTGATAATCTTCCTTATAACACTAGGAGAGAACAATGAGAAAAGAAACTTCTTTTGGAAAAAAGAAGAGAAAGAGAAATAGAGTACGTAGTGTGAATTGACACATTGTCAGATCACCTAGATTTCTTGATTATTAGTTACATTACTTGCTCTCTTGGAGCTTTCCCCTGATGCATCTAATTCTTTTTTCCTCGTGAGATGCTTCGCTTGGTCATATATCAGATCTAGACACCAATTCTTCGCCACATCGATGAACGTAATTTGCACATAAGAGGTGATCCAAATGTTTTGATGGCATCTATTGGCATTTACTCTTCCATCAATTAGAGTTTATGTTCTCATGGTTTATAATTCGCCAACTATCATCAAGTATTTATTTTGTTTTAATTTACTAGAAATTTTGAAAATTTACAATCTCATATCATGGGTATGTGAGTTTAATTCCCTACAATGATAGAAACATGATGTCATCAGAATCGACCTATGGCAATCAATCAGATTTTGACTCTAGTCAGCATGTTTCACTAGTAAAAGGATAAAGAATCGAGGTTGGAGAAGTGCTAATTAATGTTGGACATATGAGAGCACGTTTGACATTTGTGTTGAATGCCGTTGGAGCAACAGAGGCAACACCATTTGGTTGTATAAAAGTTTAAAAAAATATATTACTTGAGTATCATGCATAATCCTCCAACATTCCACCCCTTAGAGCAGTAAAGGCAAGATCACTTGGCAGTATAAAAATCCAACAGATCTAGATGATAATATATAACTTAAGTATCTTTCACGATCCTCCGCCATTCCACCCCTTAAAAAAAGGAAATAAAGACCTAAAGAATATTTTTTTTATATGAAGAGCTCTTTCTCAAAAGAATGATTGATAATTTTTTTTTTGTAGCATTTTGAGCGAATAATGAGAGAAGAAATTGCTCTAGGAAATAGAAGAGAAAGAGAGTACAAAGTGTGAACTGATAATGTCAGATCACCTAGATTACTTGGATTTTCAATTGCTTTATTTACCATTTTGACATTCTCCCGTGATGCATTTAATTATGTTTTTCTCCTCATATTCTTTACTTGCTCATATGTTAGTTCTATACATCAAGTCTTCTCCACATTTATGCACATAATTTGTAGATAAGGGGTGCTTCTTCCTTTAAGACATGACTGATAATATGAAGAGCTTCTTCCTTTAAGAAATGATTGAGAATGAGAAAAAAATTCTCTAGGAGAAAGAAAAGATAGAGAGTACATAGATTACTTGGATTTACGGTTGCACTACTTGGTCTTTTGGAACTTCTTTGATGCATTTAATCCTTCTTTTCCTCCCGAGATGTTTCACTTTGTCATACCTCAGTTTTAGACACCAACCTTAACATTGATGCACATAATTTTGTTGAGTGCCATTGGAGTAATAGAGGTAAGAATAATGAAAGAAGAAACTGCTCTAGTAAAAAGAAGAGAAAGAGAGTACATAGTGTCAACTGACACAGGGTCAGATGAGCTGGATTACTTGACCCTAGATTACATTACTTACTCTTTTGGCACTTTCTTCGTAGGCATTTAATTATTTTTTTCTCCTTGGATGTTTCACTTGGTTATATGTCAGTTTTAGACTCAAGCTTTGTCTGCATGTATGCACATAATTTGCACATAAGTCGTTATCTTAAACTTTTGGTAGGAATCCCTGGTATTTACTTTTTCATCAATTAGGATGTGCATTTTTACTTGGCCCAAACATGTAGAAATATTTTTGTTAATGGGCGGCGATTAAACGTATGTTGCGCGGACTCTCCAAAATGTTGCCGTGCCCCTGTCGGATACTCCAAAAATACACTACTTTTGGAGTATCCGACACGCACCCGGCGACATTTTCGGAGAGTCCGAGCAACATAGGATTAAACTCAAACTTGAGTCCTCTGCCTAAGTTGGTCCGAAAAGATAGAACATGTTGAATTTTTTGAATTATCTTATCTGAAAGCTCAAGTTATTAGAGATAGAACATTGTTATTTATTTATGTATGATCCATAGGATATGGAGTCTACAAGGGGAGAAGCACATTGGGATTTGAAGTTTTGAAACAACTTGCGCAAGACTGGAAGGTCGAAACACATGATAGTCAAGATGTATGGAGATGGGGGCTGGGGGGAAACGATGTCTTTTATGTAAGTTCTACTATGAGAAGTTTATTACTAGGAAGGAGTTGAGAAATGTGTATGTTTTCACTTGGCTAGCTGCGTCTGGGGTAATCTTCACGGTGGAGAACTTAGGGAAGAAAAAGTTTATTTGTTAGTTGGCGCTTCATGTGTAAAGACTCGGGGAAAGATGTGAATCACCTCCATTTACCTTATCATATAGCGTCTTAGTTGTGGTGGGAAATCCTGTGATGGTCTGGACCAGAGTGCGTAATGCCTAGCACTGTGAAAGAAACAATGTTTAGTTGGACCTTTAGAAGACAGAAGAGACACAAGGTATGGGATGTTGCTCCTCTATACTTATGGACTGTATGAAGAGAGAGGATTTGGAGCGCTTTTGATGGAGTAGAGATGGTTTTGTACACTTGAGGAATAACCTTCTATCTCTTATTCCTTTTTGGTGCACCTGCGAGGTTCCCATATGTATAAACGATTGAGTGTCTTTCATAGAAAATCATATCATTTCGTAAGGTTTTTCTACCTTTTGGTATACCTCTTGTATACATCCATTTTTTGTCCTTCTTTTAATGAATTTTTTTACTTTGACGGAAAAAAAAAACTGATCCATAGGATGACTACAAAAGTGAATCTTTTGACGGACTGTCAGAAGTAGTGATTCTTAGTAATTTCAGATATCATTATCTTAGTTGAAGAAAAAGTGTCATAGACTTATTTTTAAGATCAACTATCAGGTTATTTGTCTTTGTTTCTCCACCCAACAATAACATACCCAGTGTAATCCCACAAATGGGAGTAGTGTGTACGCAGATCTTACCCCTACCTTGTGCAGGTAGAGAGACTTCTCCACCCATTTAATCTAATAGCGACTCATCAAAAGCTTGTAATAACTAAAAGAGAAATGGAGTTGGTCCTTACTTGAGATGTTATTCAGGAAAAAAGCCCAACTCTTCTTTGCACTCAGGGCAGCACTTAGTTTCACTGGCTGCTTGATAGATGCATGAGTGCTTAGTGTCACTGGCTGCTTTNTGAGTGCTTAGTTTCACTGGCTGCTTTATGGATGCACCTTTTGCAAACTGCATCAAAGAGGAAATTATCATAAACTCTAGATTAAGATTGACAACCAATTAGCTAATGATCCATCGCAATAAGCAAACTTCAAAAAAAGAAAGAAGGAACTTTAAGTTTGACAATGTTGATGGTGATCTTTCACAGTCAACATTGCTACCTGAAGGTATACTGTTGTTGCATTTGTACTACTAGATATTTGCTCAAATACCATAAATGTTTATCCTTTTAGTCACACTTAAAGAGCTTTAAATCTTGGAAGTCTATTATTCTGTCACTTCTTCAATTAGTGAAGATGCCGGAACTTTTAGTTTGCCAATGTGTAACAGTTCTTTGACTCTTGTCTAACTTAAGTTGGTTTTTGCGAATTGATATATGATGCAAAACATGCTCGTATTTCTGTGCATGATTGGTCAAACTGCTTCTGTGGTAATTAAATGAACGAGTTAGAGAGCTTTTTGTACTGACCGTATTTCTATTTACCAATGCTACCTATTGTGTTTATTGTATAAAGAGTGAGGATTGAGGAATTTGTATATCTTGTGTACGCATGCAAATGCAAAAATGGCTCACAAAAACTCATGTAGACATGTCTGAAGGCAAAAGTTAGTAGTGGTGGCTTTGTTGCAAGTTTACTACATAGAGTACGACACAAACATTTATTAATTTTGTCTAGGTTGCTATCCATTGAAAATTCTGTGTTGACTGGTTTTCCAGAATCTTTTACTTCAGATCATTGGTCACTTTTTACTGAATCCACTAACAACGTTCTATCTCTTTGTTTTGCCTGCACAATAAGAATTGTATCAAACTTCTGAATTGATCCAGAAAAGAGATCACAAATATATCTAATATCTAATCATACTGAACTTTTAATCGCAAGAAATACAAATATCATAATGTTTATCTGTTGAGAAAGATATTTACTTTCTATAGACTTCCAGATGATGTTGCCTTTATCATCTAGCATTGATGCATTGATTGTATGGACTGATGCAGTAAAAAACTGAAAATTTAGAGTATCTGACTAAGTTGAGGTAGAAAACATCAAGTCGATATAAAAGATATTATGTCTGGCGGTACCGATGATTTGATAACCTAATAGTGTACTCTGTTTGAAAGTTAAAATTTATACATACGTTTTGCATTAAATACATCTAAGTCCCTGCTTAAAATGCATGTAAGTTTTAGGTGAAAATCGCTTAGATAGACTGTAATTTGCTGCAAAAGTTATATCATTAAACATTCTAGCATATTTTCCACAAAGCATAATCTCATAATTGAAAGTAAACGTTTCTTCAACAATGTAATTGCCTGCCATTGCAGATATTTGTTATTTAATAGTAAACATTTACTTTTGCCTGCTAGACTATTTTTCGTATTGTTAGTTTTTAAGTGTGTCCAAGAACATAAGCAATTAAAAGAATGCTAATTTTTATAAGAATCTATAAGTTTATATTTCGATTTTTACATATGGAAGCAAACATCATAATTATACATTTAGTGAAGATTTTCATGCACGCGAACATGTCATTTTGAGTAAGTTCAGTAGTGCATGCTTCAGCTTTCAATTAAAAACCACTCCATATTGGTAGAATTCTAGGTATTTATGCACTAATACTAAAGGTCACATTTTACTCCAAAAACACATCCTTATCTTGCCTGCTTTATCTGGTCCCTTAGAACAGTCAAAACTGCAATGGAGGCGGCAGTATCATGTCGCTTCCATGTTAGCTAAAGTTATTTTTATAGGCTATAATTGCCGCTAGTTGTTTTTGGTTTTGTTATTATATAGTTATTAACCCTTAGATGAAAGGTTTGGGGGGGGG